AGTGAGGTAGGGGATGTTTTATGTTTATACCCTTAGTGTTTTAATGTGTCTTTTGAGGTTAATATACATTGTGTGCATGTTATTTAAATTCTAGGATCGCATATAGATGAATATTGTATGTAACTAACGTAGGGTTTCATGTTGTTAAAGGCTTGTACGTGATTTACTTCTTGTATTGATATTATTTCATTTGGAGGTGATTTAAATCCTAGTGATTTCTAATTGTTGTAATTATGAAGTTCTTGTGTAATCTTGTCAATAATTTAATTGTGAAATTGATACTATGTTGTTGTATAATTAAGGGTTTGAGACTTACTTTGTGTTAGCATGAATGGATTCCCTAAAATTGACAACATTGTATTAGTGTATTATCTATTATCTCCTCCATCTTCATTTTTCAGATCTTTATGAATGGATATATTCATATGATTTGGGTATATGTATATGTAAACCTATAAATCAATTTAGTTATATATATATATATATATTAATATTTGATACCCAGGTCAATGATAGATTCTGATCTTCTCCGGCTTGCTTTCTCTTTATCTTGTTTTCTCTTTGGCTGCTTCTTTATCTTCTTCCTCTCTATTTTAAAAAGAAAGAAAAGTCTCCGGCGTGTCTTCAGGCATGTCCAATTGATGTCCGGCGACTCTTCCAGCGTGTCCAATCGGTGTCCGGCCGTGTCCGTTTAATTAAAAAATACAGGACACGATTTGGGAGTGTCGAACACTTGTCCGAGCTTCTGACATGCTTGTCCGCGTCGGACACATGTCCGACACTAGTACGCAGCCTATGATAGCCGTGTCGGTGCTTCATAGGCTGACAATAACCCTGTGCTATCCTATGTTCAGAGTTTCTTGGAAGTTGAAAATGCTAAAGCATGAGTTAAAATCTCTAAATAAAAAAAAGTAAGAGAATATCTCTGTCAAAGTTTTAAAGAAAGAGAACAGTTGTTAACTATTCAGAAGAAACTGGATGCAAACCCTTTGGATGGTGCTTTAAGAGCTGAGGAGAGAGAAGCTATGCAAATTTTCTATCATGATTCCAAAGCCGAAGAAAGTTAGTTAAAGCAGAATTTTAAAGTCCAATGGCTAAGACTAGGGGGAAAAAATTTTAAATTCTATTTGTTGTCCATTAACCGAAAAAAGGCTATTTACAGCATTGGTGTAATTACTGCTGAAGATGGCAGTAGAATTGAACAGAACATTGTCAATTGCCATGAGAAATTATTATAGTCTAATGGCAGGAATTACAATTTGAATGACGCTAAACTACCATATTCCCACCTAAATAAAGACCAATAGAGTATGCTAGCTGAATAGGAAGTGAGAAAGGTTATGTTGATCTTAAATCTGGTAAGGCCCCAGGGCCAGATGGATTTCAAGCTTCCTTCTTCAAAAAAATTTGTTTCTTCTCTTCTGGTAAGATGTTGACTGAATGAAATTCTATCATCATTCCTTGTTCTGTTGTTCCTATATGCACTAATCCCTCTAAAGCACCTGCCAATTTCCTGCTGCAATACACTTTGTAAATGTGTTTCTGAAATCACTGCCAATAGAATCAATTTGGTGCTTCCTAGTTGTATCTCTAATACCCAATCTGCTTTTGTCTATGGGAGGTACATTTCTGACGACATTCTGCTAGCTGAAGACTAGTTAAGGAATTATCATAAACAAGGGGAATCCTAGGTGCTATGAAGATAGATGTGAGGAAAGCTTATGATTCTCTTGAAATCATGGTTGTTAAAATCGCAATCCTGATCTTAGGATCATACGATCCTTTGATCCCATATCACACAATCGATCTAGATAGCACCAAAGATTGTTTCCTAGTAGTATCATTGTCGAATCGTTCGGATTGCAGGTGGGATCCTAGGATCGGACGATCCTATGTGATCCCAGTGATTCTACATTCTAGGTTTGTTTCTTTATTTTTAAAGTTGGTTGGGCCTATAGGGTAAGAAGCCCAACCTTTTGGTAGCCCAATTGCATAAAAAGACATGGGAAAAAAAAAGGTTAGAACTTAGAAACTTCAAAATCAAAATAGAGCCAGGGATCAAAATTTCTCTCCCACAAAGACCCACTACAGCAGCTCTCTGGCTATTTTGACCTCCGGTGAGCTCCAGCAAACTCCAGCCAGCACAAACCGCATCTTTATTTATCCCCTTTTTTAAAAACAAAAATCAGAGAGATTGTTGGTTCTCCCTCTGTTATATCCCTTTGTTCCTTTTCTATGTTATTTTCCACTTTTGTTACTTTTAAGTTTTATCCATCCGTTTTTCTTTTTCCTGAAGAATCTGAAGATGAGATTTTTTACAAATTTGCATGATGATTTAAGCTGTTATTAATTTGTATTTTGTCCAATTATTGGGCTATTGCCAGTTGTTTTTTCAGTAAAATATGAACTAAAAACTTAATTTTCGCAAGTTTGCATGATGATGTTAAGCTGTTAATTTGTATTTTGTATAAATGTTGGGTGGTTGCCTATTGTTAATTTGTATGATCATGCTGTTCTTAAAGTGGATAAATACAAATGTTATAACTCATATTGTAGATGTCTGCATCTGGTTCTTAGATGTTTGTATGAACTTATCCCTAGATATATGTTACATATGTTTGGAGTGGCATTTCTATATTTTTTTTTTGTGCTTTGGGCTTATTTTTTATTTATTTTATAGATTTTTTTAATTAGAAATTTAGTTTGAGTTGTTTTTCCACTAGTTTTGGAGAAATTTCCGGTCCCCGATCTGATCTTACGGTCCCAATCTCGACAACCTTGCTTAAAATGGAAATTTCCATTACAAGTGCTTGAAGCTATGGTATTTCTTGCAGTGGTTATCCTGTGGATTAGAGCATATCTAGTGTCAGTTAAATTCCCAGTGGTGATAAATGGTGAGTTAAATGGGTATTTTGGTTGCAGTAGGGGGGGCTTAGGCAGGGTACCCCATTTCTCCCAACCTTTTTGTGATTGCCATGGAGGCTCTAAGCCTATTTATTCAAAAGGAAGTGGCTCTCAGTTCTGGTTTTGACTACCATTTGAGATGCAGCAAGCTTCAGATTACAAATTTCTCCTTTGTTGGTAATTCAATGATTTTTTGTGCAGGTAATGTGAATCTCATTACAATTTTAAAGTCCACTATGGATAAGTTTAGCTTTGCTTCAGATTCATTCCCACATCCCTCTAGAGCATGGCTTTTATGGCTGGAGTTGATGATCAAGCGCTCATATCCTATCTATTCTGAACTTTCAATTGGCTGAGCTTCCATAGATTGTAATGTTTGGTGGAAAAGATTACAAGGAAGATTAAGACTTGGGTTAACAAAGTTATAACCTTTGCTGGCAAATTACAATTAGTTAACTCTATCCTATTTTCAATTAGTGTATACAGATTGCCATCATTCATCCTTCAAAGAAGATAACTGAGGACATTGAAAAGCTTTTGAAAAGTTTCTTATGGGAAGGAACTCATCAGTTCTCTGGAGGTATAAAGGTGTGCTGGGATGAAGTTTGTCTTCCAAAAAAGGAGGTAGGTTCAGGAATCAAACACGTGGTTGTTTGGAACAAGGCTGCTCTGCTGAAACATTTGTGGGCTCTGCTGCAGCTTTCCACTGACACTCTGTGGGTCAGCATTTTGATTTTGAAGGTTCCTGGAGATTTTTCATGGACTTGGAGAAAACATTTAAATATGAGGGAATTATTAAGGAAGCATGTTGGAGCAATCTGAATGTAGAAGAGAATCTGAGAAGATTCAAATTAATACTGGTACAAAAGATGTTAGGTGTCAAGGAATGGACATTAAAGTAAAAAATGCTCATGTAATCATCATACCTTCCAGAGCAGCTGGACCATGGTTTAAGCTGGTGCACAAAGTTTATGCTCCTAAATTTTCTACCAATTTGTGGCTAGCAATGAAGGGTAGATTATATATTACGGACAAAATAATCGCCATGGGGTTCTATAAATCATGTATCTGTGTTTTTTAAATCAGTAGCATGAGACCAGCTCTCATTTGTTTTTTGAGCGTGCTGTTACTGGTTGCATATGGTCTGGAATTACAGCTCTGTGCCCTCTTCATGGCCAAACCAGTTAAGCCGGATTATCAACTCCTATTTAGCTAAGTTAAAGGGGAAAAGCCTATTTGCTGTCACTGGGAATCTTATTTTGGCTGCTACAGTATAATTTGTTTGAAGGAAAGAAACTCCAGAATATTTGATAAAAAAATGTTAAACCAGTTCCTCAAGTCCAGCAGGAAATTATTGATGCCATCAGATGCAAGCTTAGGGCTGCAAAAGACTAAAGCATCCAAGCAGAATCCATGGTTTATTCAGAATTGGGATTTACCAGCTCATGCCTAAAACTTTTCTGAGTTTCTTGCTTTTCAAAGGCTGCTTTGTTTTTCTGCTGCTTCTTTGTAATCAGTATTTGAAGGTTTTCTGCTTTGGTTATGCTTGTAGGGCTATGTAGTTTTGGATGTCTGTCCCTGCTGCTTAGCTTTCTGTTATGCAGTGTTCGTGGTTTTGGTAGTTTGATAAGGTTTTTTGTTTGTCTTGAGTCCGTCTGTTGGTCTGTTAATTTGTTGTGTTTACGTTGGTGGTTGCTCTGCTGGTAGCCTTGTAGGTTTTAGGTTCCTGTTTTGGGAGGTGTGCCTCCTTGGTTTTTGTACATAATTGTTCCATCTTTATAAATTTTATCTTAGCACAAAAAGAAAAAGAAAAAAAAAGTTTTTTACTTGGGGTTTTCTGTGTAAAAATTGTTTATGTAATTGCTTGACATTTTATTAATGCTCTCAATATTTAAATCATTGCTATTGCTGCATCTTAAATATAATCGTTAAGACTTTAAAAGTCAGTTATTGTTAGGTCACCCCTCCTGTAGATCTATGTAAGGGCAAAGCACACTCTGACTATCTGAGCCTAGAGTAACGACCCTTAGCATTTCAATTGGTATCAGAGCATATCAATGGTGAGTTTCTCAGGAAGGAAGGGAAAGATGCACTACCTGAAGATCCCGAAATGTGGCCTCTTCAATGGACAATTTAGAGGCAATTTCAGCTACTTGCTTATACTTTTCTTCATATTTCTTAGCGAGAGACTCTGCCTGAAATACAATCATTGTCAGAGTCAACAAAAACCAGATCTCCAGCACAAAAAGAAATCCATTTCTCAACAAAAGAGAGAATCAATTATTTCCATCTTAGAAAATACCTCACGCTTATCTGCTAACGCCCTTTCCGTGATCTCATTAAGTCGATTATCACACCTGCTTTTGTACAGAACCTGGGAGAAGAAAAGGAAACAAATGAACTAAGAACAAAAAAGGAAAAAAGTGATCTAGGATAAGTACATGATGAACTTTGAATCTATAGAATGTATGGCCGCAGAATGTTAAATAATGTGTACATCTTGGGTATGCATGACTCCAAGGATTAAAAAGGGGAACCACTCACAAGGTCCTGCATTTTTGTCCTGTAGAACTCAAGCTTCTCTTTAGAATCTAGAAGAACCTTTTCCTTATTTTCAACCTACATTAACAAAAGTAAGAGACTCAGTTGACATTCATGGTAAAGATTGCATTAAAAGAATTGCATGGCACCACGAAAGCATGTTAAAGTTTCTCCATAAAAAGTTTTTTTTTTTTTTTTTTTGGTCCTTCCACACCCTCCAGCAGCTTGCAGCTTGTGCGACAGCCACCTTTCTTTTTTTCCCCTAAATAATGCAAGAATTATTAATGGAAGAAGAAATAAAAAAATAAAAAATAAAAAAAAACAGAAAGCTAATCATGACCAAGTGATCCTTGCAATTTAAAATCACAGAATCCAATTTTAATATTGCTCTTGACCTCAAGATTCTTGCAAATAAAAGAAATAAATAGAAGGTTGAAAAATAAGAAAATCCAGCCGCTTTGCCCCAGCTAACTCTATCCTTGGGAAACCAAAAGAACTGCCGAAGGAAAGGGATGTTGTCTGTCCCTTGGCCCAGTACTCATACTGGAAACCACGATCGAGTTCGACTAAACAGCAATCTTCCAGTAAACAACACCAACCCCCTCCCCTCCCTCCCCCCCCCCCCCCCCCCCCCCCCCCCCCCCCCACCCCTTTTTCCCAAAAATAAATAAATAACAACAAAAACTAAATATGTTCTTCTTGGTCGACTTTGATGATCAAACCTAAAACTACATACCCAAACACATAAAATTCAATTCAGAAGTGGGGATACTCGGTTCCATTTTCTTTTCACGTGTTGTTCCATCAATTTCTAAAAAACTTTGCAATATATTAAGATTAAAACTTGAGACTGATGCATTGCAGACAGTCTTGTAAATGAAATCCCAAATCCCACATCTAATCACCCAAATTTCAGTATTTTCCCAACAGAATTATTTACTTGAAACATTAATTAAAAATTGCATCATATTATTCATTAAACCAAAAATAACATGAAGAACATACACAAACAAAGAGTAGGGACAAGTTGATAACAATTTTAGGGGGAAAAAAACTTCACCATGAACTCCACCATGATGGGTTAGAATAGCATTAGAAGTAAACTTCATCAATTGTTCACAGAAGTTACGGAACAACCAACAGAAATGACTAATTGTCAAATGAAAGACAACATTGAAGGGGGTTTCTCAAAGTTTGTGGAATAATAATGGACCCAATAAGTCAGGTCAAATTTTAGCCTTTACCAGGCATAATCCATTAATTTCAGCCAAAAACATGGAAGCATTTTCCTCACTTTCTTAACAACTTGCGAACAGCCTCTTGGATTTGCAGTATCATTCAATTAACCATCACTTGGTTTTTGTTATCAAGACGTTGAAATTTCTTTGTTTATTGGCCTCATGAAACCAGAAAACAATTCAGATAAGGAGATTTTAAGCAAAAAGTAGGAGAAATTATTTTTTCTAATTCTAGCAATTTTGCAGGGAATGAACCACGGGGAAAAGGGGGGCAGGGTAGTACATTCTTCTGTGCTTCTGCAGGCTCTTCAGAATTCAAATTCAGTGAATTTTGCTCCCCATCCCTGAGTTGATTCAGATGAGAATTCTCCGTTGATGGCATTCTTGCCTTCTGGTGATTAAACTGCATTGTTGCATCAGCCTGAGGAAATGTTATCGGCATTGAAGGCCTCAAACCAGATGCAGGTGTCGCTGGCTGGGCACCATGGATCCCTTGCTGAGGCCTCAAACCTAAACATAATGAAGGAGAATGAATTACTGAGAAGAAAATTTTGGGAAGAAAGATTGAAGTACTTAAAATTCAACTGAAATAAATACCAGCAGTGGGTCCCCAAGCTGTGGGTCCATATGAAGCATTGACCTGACCAGTCAAGGACAACAAAGTCTCATCGAGCAAAACATTACTTGGAAGCGTAGGTGGAAGAGAACGGCCTTCCCTGTACCGCTCCATTAGATAAAGAGCAATGCAAAACTCCCTCAAAGAAAGCATGCTATCATTATCTTGATCTGATAAGTCCCAAACCTGCTTTAACACCTCTGCCGAAGGATAACGACATAAATGAGCAAGATGTAATCAAAGAAACAAACCAATCTAAATATTATTTTTTTTACATTGCTACACAAGGAAAATAATATATATATATATATAAGAAATCAAAAAAACATGGGACTCTATAGAGCTTCAATAACAAGGGGGGAAAGAAAAGAATAAAGTATATCATGGAACATTTTAAGTAGAACAACTTGGTCACTCCATCGTCCAAGAATCTTGAATGCCAAGTACTCACGTTTGCAAAGTTATGAAAGCCCGACTCTTTGTCATGCACTATCCAAGAGGAATTTATTGCTGTCCTTGTTATTTTCATTTTACATTCAGGCTAAGAGACTACAATAAAATCAGGATCTGCACTCAAGTAGGCAGGTAAAGGAAATTTGGAAACTAAGCACTTCAAATGTGATACAGAAGGAAATGACAAATGAGTACACTAAAGCAGGTGAAAAATAAAACCCAAGGGCCTCGGGGATTTCCCATTACTGGGGGAGAGATCAAAGACCTTGAGCTTGCAGAAGTGATGAAACTATTTGGAGAAAAGACGCATAATATCCTTCATAATGCAGTCAAAGGTATTCCCTCGTCCTCCTATGAATGGGTTCTTTATCAATCAAAAGGCAAATAATGATGAAACTGTGAAGCTCAAAGACATATAGACATATACAGCGCAACATAAATTTGGTACCCATAATAACACTGCAGAAAGAAAGGGCAAAGAAAATATTTGGGGGGTGGGGAGTTTCTGACATCTGACAAACAATAAAAAAGGTAAAGAATACATAAAGCAAAAAGCTAATCTCGTAGAAAAGTATATCTACCTCTCGGCAGTCTCCAACTCAAGAATAAGTTACGCGCCTCGTTACCAGTAATTTTTCCATCCCTGTCACTATCTACTTCCACAAACACTTTCGTATATTTCTGAACACCTGCCGGTGTCATTCTTGGCCATGGAATCTGGGACTGTTCAGAAGCAGACTTTCCAACCTCAACTGAAATTCCAGCTGATGCAAGCGAGGATGTATGTTGAGATACAACCTGTTGGTTTGGTTTCAACTGTGTCTGAGTCTGCTGAAGCTGACCTCCTCTAGACTGCCTCATAAAATTACTCTGTAATGACTCCAATGGATCAGGCTTAGCTGAAGAATGGGACCCAGTAGATACCGGAGCAACGGCTGACGAGGCAGGTGCACTGTTGACCGAATAAGTTTGTCCAGAAGAACCATGCATAGTTACAGATGGGGTGGCAGAAAACACATCGCCTCCAAATATTTGGTCAGAAGCAAACCCATTTCCAGATCCAACTGATGCTTTGAAATCTTTAACTGCTGTTAAGGAAGGTGTTGAAATTAGATCCTGTGGTTTGGATACAACTGAGGCCATTGACTGACTAATTCCTTTATTAGGGACTTGTGATGTTGCTCCCGTTGGAGTTCCACCAGTCCTTCCACCAAGCCAATCGCTTGAGATGTTTGAGTTCGGAAGACCAAGACCCACATTACTACCTCCAGTGGGAAAAGCAGGGCCTGCAGCACCCTGTGCTGGACGCGAAGCAGTACCAGTAGCCGTGGGAAGAGGCGGCCTCGCTGAATGATTTCCTTGAGATGAGAAAATTTGTGGGTTCATATTTGCATTTGGAGGTACTTGTCCTCCAAAGCCATGATTTTGGGATGCTGTTGGTGCAACTGCACCCATCTGAATCGCAGATGCAGCAGCCATTGGATTCAACTGAGGTGCAGGAGCAAGTGCTAAATTAATCTGCGGAGCAGGAATTTTAGCTGAAGCAGGACCATATAACGCCGCCTTCACAATATCTGGTGTTAGATCTCGCTTACTTTGTGCGACAGTTACAAGTTTAAGAGCATTATAAAATTCAGCACGACCAAGGAAACCACTACGGCTCTGATCAGCATGCATCCATATCTACAGTTGAGTGGAAGAATGTGTTAATCAAACTGTCACAAGCCCCAAATTAAAATCTATAAATTTTGTTCTAAAAAGTCCAAATCACCACAAAAAGAGTACTGAAAGAGAAAAGGTAGAGCAGTACTAGTAATAGATTTCCCATTTGTACCAGTAAATGAAACATTATAGAATACAAACAGCGCATTGCTACTGTGTCCAACCAGGCAAAGTATGATTGCTCCTCTAAATAAAAATTGTGGGAAAATAAGATTTATTAGTTGTGTACAGGCTGTTAATAGCTAGGGATTTATTGGTTGTGTACAGGCTGCTGTTAATAGCTAGAGATTTATTAGTTATTGCAATCCCTGATTTCTAGGGATCAGGATCAGTTTTTATTAGCTTCCTAGAATAGCATTATTCTGATGTATATATAAGAGTGTATTCCCAATTCTTTAATCAATTGATTCGATTACCAATTTCAGTAATTTTGTCATGGTATCAGAGCTCTAGGCTCGTTTTCTGGGTAATCGTCTTCTCTTGGCCTTCTTTGCTAGTTCTTTTTTCCTAGTGTTCTTGTTCTGTGAAAATCCAGTGTTATCAAACCTGTGGATTCCATCTCTCTCTCTAAATCATGCCAGCATCTACTGAAACCAGCGACACTTCAGAGATTCCTGTAACTGGAAGCAACGGCTCTGTCCCAACAGGAGAATTGCAGAATATCCAGGCAGCGTATAGGTTGAACGGGAAAAATTATCTGAAGTGGTCTCAAATGGTCCGCAAGTTCTTGAAAGGAAGAGGGAAACTGAGCCACTTGCTTGGTAATGGTCCAGAGAAGGAGGATCCTAAGTTTGATGCTTGGGATGAAGAAGACTCTATGGTTATGTCATGGTTATGGAACTCTATGTTACCAGAAATCAGCAACACTTGTATGTTTTTGAGCACGACCAAGGAGATATGGGAAGCAGTCAAGCAGACCTATTCCAAAGTACGTGATGCTGCACAGATCTATGAGATCAAGACCAAAGTCTCCGCTACCAAACAGGGTAATCGATCAGTCACCGAATATTCCAACCTCTTGAAGGGTCTATGGCAGGAGATGGATCATTATCACTGCATTCAGATGAAGTGCAGTGAAGATGCAGCCATCCTTAAGAGGTTTGTTGAAAAGGACAGAATTTATGATTTTCTTGCAGGTTTAAACATCGAATTTGATGTTGTAAGACTGCAAATACTTGGAAAAGAAGATCTGCCAACCTTAAATGAGGCAATTGCAATTGTTCTTGCTGAGGAAGGAAGAAGGGGTGTTATGATTGAAACTCACACAATAGAGAGTTCGGCCTTGGTGTCAAAAAACACGGCTATGAAGAATTATGGCTCCGAACAGCGTTTTGGAGAAGGCAATGGGCAAACTGATATGTCAAAACCATTCAACAAGGATTCTCTGTGGTGCACATACTGCAAAAAATCCCGCCATACTAAGGAGAAGTGCTGGAAGCTCCATGGAAAGCCTCAAATTGTGAACAAAGCTTGGTCAGAAAAGAGTGGACAGCCAAGAGGACAGGGACAGGCACATGTGGCAACCACACAATCCAACAGTGAAGACAATCTTTCAATCCCATTTGCTGAATTCAACAAAGAAGAGATAGAGAAATTAAGGAGCCTATTAGGAACGTTGGAGAAACCGTCTACAGCAGGTACTTGTTCTTTGGTGTTCTCAGGTATTTCCTCTCCTTCCCCCTCTTCTTATGTTTTTAGTGCTTCGAATATAGTCTCCTCAAACTCCTGGGTCATTGACTCAGAAGCTACAAATCACATGACCCACTCCTCAAAAAAATTTATTTCATATACCCCTTGTCCTAGCAATAGGAAAATAATAACAGCTGAAGGTTCAGTGACAACCGTGGTTGGTCAAGGAGATGTTTTTTTGAATGACCACCTTACACTTAAGAATGTCCTCCATGTCCCAAAACTATGCACCAATCTTGTGTCAATCCAGAAACTCACTACAGATTCTAATTGCAGTGTGACGTTTTATCCTCTCCGTTGTATATTTCAAGAACAGGGCACGAAGAGGATGATTGGACATGCTAGGGAGAGGGATGGTCTATACTACCTTGAAGAATCAAATTGACAAAATAGAGTTGAGCGTTTGTCACCATTATCATTTCTTTCCGAGTCATTCAAATCCAATAAAGATAAGATATGGCTTCAACACCTTCGTCTTGGTCACCCATCATTTAGTGTTCTCAAAATAATGTTTCCTTCATTGTTCAAAAGTTTATCCATTGAAAATTTTCATTGCGACGTATGTGAACTTGCAAAGCACAAACGTACTTCTTTTCAAATCAGCAATAAAAGAACTTCTGTTCCATTTACCTTGATTCACAGTGACATTTGGGGACCTTCCACTGTTACTAATGTTTCTGGGGCAAGGTGGTTTGTCTCATTTATTGATGATTGCACTCGTGTCTTGGATTTTTCTATTAAAAAATAAATCGGATGTGAGCTGTGTTTCCAATTTTTTTCAATATGGTCAAAAGTCAGTTTGGTGTGGTGATAAAGAGATTCCGATCGGACAATGCTAAGGACTACTTTAATCAAATTCTCTCTCCGTATTTCCAAAAACAGGGCATGATACATGAATCCTCTTGTGTTAGCACACCTCAACAAAATGGGGTGGCCGAACGAAAGAACGGCCACCTTCTTGATATTACAAGAGCTTTCTTGTTCCAAAAAAATGTTCCAAAACAATACTTGGAGGAGGCTGTTTTAACCGCTCTCATCAATCGGCTTCCTACAAGAGTCCTTGGTTTTAAAAGTCCAATGCAGGTCCTTACACAGTTCTTTCCCAATTTTAACGCATCTAATAATCTTGTTCCAAAGATATTTGGTTGTGGTGCCTTTGTTCATGTGCATTCTCAAAACAGGGGAAAACTTGATCCTCGAGCTCTCAAATGTGTCTTTCTTGGCTATTCCTCCACCCAAAAGGGCTACAAATGCTATCATCCTCCGACAAGGAGATTTTATGTGTCTGCTGATGTTACTTTTGTCAAACAAGATCAGTACTTTAACGGTCCTTATCTTCGGGGGGAGACATCCTTCATAGAAGATAAGGATAAGGATTTTTTTCTCCTTGAGTTTCCAGCCCCTATCTCTCATCAATCCGAGTCAAACATACTCCCAAACATACAGTCCGAGCCAAACACACGGTCAGAAGCCGAGCCTCATACACCCAAATCACAAGGAGTGTTACATGGGAATCAAACTCGAGACTCTACTCGTCCATTGCAAATTTACTCAAGGAAAAGAGCACCAATCTCTCAACCTGTGCAAGTTCAATCACCCAAATCTGCTCCTGATAATGTTGAGGTAATTACTCAACCTAATGATAACACTAATGAAACCTCTGAACAAAATGATTATGATGTCCCTATTGCAAATAGAAAAGGAACTCGAACTTGTACCAAACACCCTCTTTATCTATCCATGTCATATAAGAATCTTTCTCATAACCATAGGGCCTTTCTTACTAGCTCAAATACAGTCCCTATTCCCAAAACTTTATCCAATGCATTAGGAAATGAGAATTGGGAAAATGCTATAAAGGTTGAAATGGAAGCACTTGAGAAAAACAAGACTTGGGACTTGGTGAGACTGCCTAGAGGGAAGAAGTCGGTTGGGTGTAAATGGGTGTTCACAACCAGAGGAAAGGTATAAGGCAAGATTAGTTGCCAAAGGGTATACACAAACCTACGGCATAGATTATCTTGAGACTTTTGCTCCAGTTGCTAAGATGAATACTGTGAAAATTCTGTTATCAGTGGCTGCAAATTTTGGCTAGAGATTACAGCAATTTGATGTCAAGAATGCCTTCTTACATGGCGATCTTGAGGAGGAGATCTATATGGAGATTCCGCCTGGGTTTGGCTCAAATGAAAAGGAAGGAATGGTATGCAAGCTTAAAAAAGCTTTGTATGGACTGAAACAATCCCCAAGAGCTTGGTTTGGGAGATTTACCAAAGTGATGGTGAGTATGGGATATAAGCAAAGTCAAGTAGATCATACATTGTTTGTAAAACACTCAGCATTAGGGGAAGTGACAGTATTGTTGGTCTATGTGGATGACATCATAGTAACAGGAGATGACTTGGAAGGAATGGAGAGTTTGAAGAAACAGTTAGTGAAGGAATTCGAGATCAAAGAGCTAGGAAAACTGAAGTACTTTCTTGGTATTGAAGTAGCCCACTCTCGGCAAGGGATTTTTATATCACAACAAAAATTTGTGTTCTTGTTGGCTGATACAGGCAAGCTGGGATGTAAGCCAGTTGAGATACCTATGGAGTCAAACCACAAACTTTGTGATGCTCCAGAAGACATAGCCGTGGATAAAGGCTCTTTTCAGAGACTTGTGGGGAAGTTAATTTATTTGTCACATACCAGGCCGGATATAGCTTATGATGTGAGTGTTTTTTTTTTTTTTTTTTTTTTTTTTTTTTGATAAGTAGCTTATGATGTGAGTGTTGTGAGTCAATTCATGCACAATCCCAAAGAATCACATCTCAAAGCTGTGTATAGAATTCTGCAGTACTTGAAGAGTACACCAAGAAGAGGAATTCTGTTTAAGAAAGGGGAAGGACTGACTCTTGAAGCCTACACAGATGCAGATTATGCAGGATCCGTAATTGACAGAAGATCAACCTCGGGCTATTGCACCTTCCTAGGTGGTAATCTCGTTACTTGGAGAAGCAAAAAACAGAATGTGGTTGCAAGGTCCAGCGCAGAAGCTGAATTTAGAGCGATGGCACTCGGGATATGTGAACTGCTATGGCTAAGGATAATCCTGGAAGATTTGACAGTCAGATGGGAAGGTCCAATGAAGCTTTACTGTGATAATAAATCAGCCATCAATATTGCACACAATCCCGTGCAACATGACCGCACAAAACACATTGAAGTGGATAGGCATTTTATTAAAGAGAAGTTGGATAGTGGCCTCATTTGTACTCCTTTTGTTCCTACTGGAGAACAGCTAGCAGATTTGCTTACCAAAGGATTGCCTGGAACCGTTTTTCAGAAACTAACCAGCAAGCTTGGAATGGATGACATCCATTCACCAGCTTGAGGGGGAGTGTGGGAAAATAAGATTTATTAGTTGTGTACAGGCTGTTAATAGCTAGGGATTTATTGGTTGTGTATAGGCTACTGTTAATAGCTAGAGATTTACAGGCTACAGGCTGTTAATAGCTAGAGATTTATTAGTTATTGCAATCCCTGATTTCTAGGGATCGGGATCAGTTTTTATTAGCTCCCTAGAATAGCATTATTCTGATGTATATATAAGAGTGTATTCCCAATTCTTTAATCAATTAATTCAATTACCAATTTCAGTAATTTTGTCAAAAATAAATATAAAAATTATTTCCAAAGGAAATAGTGAAGTGGCACAAATGCAAGTGCAACATCACAAATTGAAATAGAAGTAGACAGCTATCTAGGCCACAAACAACCACAGGACAATGTCTATATATTACAATCTGTAAAACATGTCACCGATATTCAAATAGACATGTCTTGTTTTCCTCAATTCTCTTTTTTGTATTGGTTAGGAATAACATTCACAAGGGTGCAATTAGACACTAAACTTAAACAACTGGGGATTTTTTTAAAAAAATAAAAAATAAAAAATAATAATAATAATAATAAAAAATATATATAAAAAAGAAGGAACAAGAAAAAAAGAAAGAAAAAGAAAAAGAAAAGATAGGGTATGTTAGCACTTAGCTCCTAGGTATTAGTCATTTTGTTAGTTTGGTCAGTCCTTTTTAGTCAATCACCCAATCATGTTGATTTATTGATGTAATATTAAATGAATGTGCATGAACATATGGTGATAATTTGCATAATTAGATGGCGCCCATAATCGACATGGTACACACACACTAGGATCAATGTAAATCTGGAGTGAGTGGACCATAGGACTTTAAATTAAACAAACACTTACTTATATGGCCTATAACCTCTTAAAGAGTATTAAATATGAGTGAGATTGTTTTTTTCTCACTAGAAGAGAAGATGGGTGGTGGACTTTGAAAGAAAAGAAAGTAAAACTGATGTAGGACAAGAGAGCAGCCTTAAATAGCTAAGAACTCAAAGAATTCAGAGTCTGAAAGTTCAAGAACTAGGGCAGAAATTTGGAGGTTTGATAGTAGAAATGTACAAAACCAAAGGAGAAGTGGTTGTTAATTAAAATAAACAGAGCTATGGTTCACAATATTAGTAGAGAGAAAGGATTGAAAACAACAAAAACCTACTGGAATCACACCAACAGGTCCAGGTATCACACCTAGAGAAGGCCTCACACCCTCACAAATTGTGAATCACTCACAAAGAAATCTCAAAGATATTTTTATTCATTCCTTGACTGCCACAGCAAGTTTACATCATACCCTTCTTATAGCAGCTTATGACCCTCATATTACCCCATGATTGAGGTAATCAAAAGTTGACTCTATAGCATAATAAAAGTAATCACCCCGTAATTGAGGTAAACAATATTTGACTCTAGCATAATAAAAATAATTACTATGGACGGATGTAATTTGATCGAAATTGATGCAAGCTACCATAATTATGCAATTTGACCAAATCCCCCTAATTATGCAAGACTCCAAGTGGAAGCTACCATAATTATGCAATTTGACCAAATCCCCCTAATTATGCAAGACTCCAAGTGGACCCATCGTCTAGCATGTGCCAAATTAAGGTTTGAGCCTTAGAACCCTCCTTGGCACGCCTTTTATATACCTTAAAAGGCTGCTGCCACTGTTCTCTATCAAAAAGTGTCTAAGAATAAGATGTTAAAAGAAACGACATGAAATTTAAAAAATTAAACTAATATAATGTGGAATAGGATGGCAAGAAGCATTACAAGAATAACAAAAGAGATTCTTGGGGATCAAAAGAAAGAAGGATGTTATCTAAGAAAACTTGATGGCGGATGATATCCAAACCTTCATATAAACAAAAAGGGAGTGTTATAAAATTTGGTAAAAAAATTTAGAAGTGAAGAAATCTTAGAAGATACAATTTTGCAAAGAAGGAAGCTAAAAAATTACTGAGAGGAAGCTACGAATAGAATATGTGATTTGATTGACATTTGCCCTTGGACCGAAATGGACGAATAGAATTCATGGAACCAACCATAAAAAGTTAGAAGAAAAGATTTGTTGAGTTAAATTTGAACAAAATAACATATTGAACTTGGACCCCCTCAAAAGTAAGTGTTCTGACATAATTTTGTGAATTAAAGTGTGTGTTTCATTAAATATCATCACTTTTTTAAATTAATCAAATGTAATTTGTTGGAGGGAAACTGATCCCAATATGTAGAGAAACCTCTCTCACTATGATAAAATGCGGCATCAACCTCTTTGGAGTCTTGGACTGAACTATTTGTGCAAGTACCAGCTTCTAAATAAAAATAAAAATAAAAGGTCTTCAATCATTATTTGGCTAAAAAAACATTTATGAAATGAATTAGGCATCTTTATACACAAGACAAACATTGGATCATTTTAAGAGCTTTTTATCACGCGTATAGCTTGTCAAATTGAATGAATTATTGAGAAAACAGAGTGGTTTCTTACATTGTTCTAGGCACGTGATTGGGTGATCCTGGAAGAATAATGAGTGACATTTATTCATTGAACCTTCATAACACTGGGACAACATCCCCTATGGTTTTTACTTTGTCACTTTGATCTTATTGACTTTATTTCCATTGCTTGATGGTTGATCATGCATGGCAAATGCTTAATTAAATGGAAATTACAATCGAAATTACAATCGAACTTAAAGTACATTCAAAAAGAAAAGAAGAGACATACTCAACCCAACTTTGTGTGTGTGATCACATATCCACTGGATACTTAAACAGTTATACTTTACCATGTTAAACCAGGTCTGTTCCAACATAATTCCATAATTACAGTTTAAGACCTCATTCAACTTCTAAGTTATCATAAACGTGACACGATTACAAATGCCCATCATTTGTATTTCATTAAGCCAGTAAAAAGAAAGATAATAGATATACGATCAGGCCACAAAAAAAGTAAGTCAAACAGAAATAGCATAGTAAGTTATAATGTTAAAGAAATTTGGGGGATATCATTCTCTAATATGTCAAAAATCAAACTTCAGAAGATATATGTCTCTGTGTGTATATATAGAGAAAGAGTATTTATTCAACCTGAGCAAGTACGTTTTTGGGTAAGCTGGATCCTTGAAAGAAAGAAACAGCTTCAGCCCCACTGATCCTGCCATCCTGATCCAAATCCGCTCTTCTGAAGTAAACATCAAATAGATCCATATTCGACCCCGCCATATTTCCAAATCAATAGCTGGAAAGCGCGACTCAAACTTCACAGTGATATTTGCAGATCAAGACATTAATTACATCAAGCAGATTTACAAATATGAGCAAATCGACGAACAATCATCATAAAAAGCTAATCATATATACACATTCGAACACTAGAAAATACACAATGAAATCAATCAATGGTAACAACTACAACTAGCAGCAGATGAATTTTGGGTTGTGTTCGTGTGATCAAAAGAATTGGATCGTGACGTTGTCGAAAAAGAATTCACCGAAAAGCGTTGGAAGACTGATATTTTCGAGAAATTTGGAAATTGTTGGAAAGTGTGGAGTACACAGAAGAGAACGTTTCTTGTATGTGATATGAATTGCTCACTATTTGTTTGTCTTACCCCTAATTCAAACAACAGAGAGATTTTAGCACGAACAATTTGGGGATTGGATTCTCTTCTTTTCCCTTTATTTTTACGTTTTTTTTTTAAAAATTTCTGAAATGACCCCAAAACTCTACCACATTTGTGAAAACCGCTGCCAAATGTCAAATACTGATTGTTGAAAATAAGGGTCAAGCGCAACCCCTCTACTATCGATATAATGCAAAAAGGTCTTTGTGTAGTATAAAACTTTTCTATACTATCAATTTGGTGCAAATAGGTTCCGATTTGGTATAAAATAATGATAATACCCTGTCAGTTGAATAAATTAATAACGATAGACACATAATGTAAAATGACCCTTTTATCTAATTTGTGTAAAATTATGTTTGTTTAGGATAAGAATAAAATAAACCTCAATTTGTATAAAATTGGTATAAGCTAAACCAAATAAACCTAAAATTAAATATAATAAAAACTCAAACCAAACAGTCCCCTACTCTATGAGACACACTTATGCCGCAGTACAATGAAGAGCTATTCCGAGGATCTTCAAAGGAACCTCAAATAAGTTGCACAGTAACACACTTTTTTGGGTTTAATGCATCTAAATACTCAACACTGATGAAACCATCCAAGAGAGGACAGTCATAACTAATAACTCATGTCTGGCTGATGTTTAATATCCAAGAGCATTACTTTTCCATAGTTAAATCCACCTGATAAATTTCAAAGATTGTTGGTAATTGATGTACCATGGTAATATTGATGTAATATTGTTATCAACTACTGTCAGAAAATGCTTAATGAACACTTAAAAGTCTTCAGCTAATAATTCCTAGTCCACAGCCTAAGCGTTTTGCTCACACAGATCCAATATCACAAAGAACTGACTTTTGGAGAGGAGAGAAAAAGAAAGAGTGGAAAAAACATGAAGCAAGCACTGCATTTTAGATGAAGCACATCTGTCTCCATAATCTCGTCACATCAAACTCACCAACAAAGAGTAATTATAAACTACTCTAAAATCTCAAATTTGAACATTCGTGTTGAAGTGAGAATCTACTTCTCTCAGCTCACCAAAATTGCTAGGGAGCTCATGGGCACCGACAACCACTGTGCGGGAAACAATATATAAAAACTTAGAAACCGAGCTCACTGGCTTTTTCCTTCTCAAATGTCTCAAAGTACCGATATATGATGGTAATTGCAAGCATAAGTGAGTACTTATATATAAGTCAAAATGGGTATGATATGGGGGTTATGTGCACATATGGGTGAGGGGCAAAATGGGAATCAAAAGGGTAAAATACGATTTTCATATTTAGTTTTCGTCAAAAAGTGGTCAGAGGGGCTTATTTGCACATTTTTTAAATTTTATAGATTAACATGCACATTTTCGAAATGTAAGGACTAGTTCTGCACAAACCCTATATATCATTGGGGGTTTTTTGAACTTAACCCTAAAAATAGCGTGCCCACAACCAAGATTGCAAGGATTTTCGTTTGAAAAAGAAGAAAAAATTAATAATTAGAAGGAGACCACACTACTTATTGTTTGTGGAATTCCTAATCAGAAATAGGAGTGAACATTTGGAGGTACCATAGTTCGTTAGAGATCAAGGATTGTGCACATCTATCTAGTAACTAATCAATTATCGGTGGCAAATAATTATTCAATTGTTTAAGAGGTATAATGATCTAACCTTCTATGCTAATTGATAACTAATAATGATTCGTTAAAGCTAATTGAGACGATCATGTTCCGCTCATGAAAAATATTTTTAAAAAATTGCTTCTGCTTTATATGTATTTTCGGACTACCCAACAACTCTATGATTCAAGTTCCAGATTTTAAGCACTTTGGTTCCGGTGAAAATTTTCGGGCTTGTCTAATTTAAAGTAAGGGTGTATTAATTCTCTAAATCCTTGATTTTTAAGTACTCATATGTGGGTAATGATGCTTAGTGTACTAGAATTTGCTAGGTAGTTGTAAGTTTTGCATATTTACACGTAAAACTTTAAATGGATAAATCTCGTATGTGTAATGGGCATAATATATAGGGCTAAATGTGCAGTTATATGATATGCAACCTTAGCGCTATGGGATTAGAGTTTCAGCACCACTTTAGCCAAACCCATGCGGTACTAAGGTGTTGCTTCTACTCGCGTAAGCACTTTGTCAGCCTAACTCCTATGCACACCTTAGCCAACACACTCCCCACGTGCGCTTAGTATTGTAGTGGACTCTACCCTCTTCTCACTTGGCTTACACATTCACACACACTTAGGCACAATTTAGTTGGCAAAGAAACAACACTTCCATTACTTCAAAGAATGCTTTGTACAAGACTGGCTACTCACTCTCTATAAGGCTCTCAAGACTCACTCTAGGACTTGATAGTTACAAAATGAAGTCATACTATTTATAGGCATCCCTATCCCTAATGGGCGATTAAGATGCATTCTAACCGATGGTGGAGATAGATTCTCTAGAATCTTTTCCCACTTTCTTCACACTTCCATGCATATCTTCAAGTATCTACATTATTCTACACAACTCTAAACTACCATAGAGAATTCTAGAAAACTTCCATGCCATGCAGTCACCATAAAGCGTCCTACTTAACATACGTGTGTCTCCTGCATGGCATAACCTCCATCGGTGGGGCGTGACATACTCCCCCACCCATTTCCATGACGCCCTCATCACGGTTTTTTTCAACTAACCCAATCTCTTGTAGGTCATTAGCACTTGCGCATATGTCCTTGGCCCAAACGTATATGCACCTTCGGGAGGTGTAAGGTTCTCACGAGTTCCATCATGTTGACTTCCACCTTTTAACTCTCCTTCCTGCACATGAGCGGCACCATGCATGTGGCTTTGTCTTCCTCGCCTCTAAGTATCATCAACATACCAAGGCATGGTATTGGTGTGGTGTTGTTTCGGTCCATGAATTCCAGCCCCACCACCATGTCGTTATTGTAATACTCCGATATTTTAAAGGAATTATTAATGGAAATAAATTACTTTTATTTTATTTTAAATGATTTATTTGATTTAATTTGAATTAATTGTGTTTATTTTTTTTTTTATATTTTGATTTGTTTTATTGAGTGCTTAGATTAATTGTTTTATTTATTTATATTTCGTGAATTATTGGTAGGATGATTGATTGTTTGTGTACTTAATTATTGATTGAATTGTTAGCGTGTTGATATGATGTGACTTAGTTGTACATTCTTGTTTGTTTATATGCTTCATGTGATTAGTTATTTTAATTTAAGTGTTTATTTAATTATTGTATTTATTAAATTAATTGGATTGGGCTTAAGGAAAGTTGAACCAAAGGATATAGTATTGGGCTTGGATGAAGCCTAGTTGGGTTAATTAATAAAGGCCCATGGTTATATGATTATTTAAAATTATCATTTTTGTATAATTATAAATGTATATATTTAATTATATATAAATATAATTAATTAATAAGTGTTACGGAAAGATTTATAATTATGGATATATATATATATATATATATATATATATGATTTATGATTTAATTAACCAATGGTTAATTATGGGAGATATATATGCATATGTAATATATTATATATTTATATATATTATATTATTTAAAAAGTATTATTTTATTTGGTAGTCCTACTAGGAATAGGATTTAGGTTTTAATGTATATAAATATACACATAAGGCTTAGGGTTAAAGAGTTTACACGTTAGAAAAATAAGAAAGACAGAGAGAGAAAAAGAAGAGAGAGTTAACAAGGAGGAAGCCGGATTAAAGAAAGAAGACGCTGTAATTGAAAGAGACAATCCAAGATTGAAGCGTTGGTTTCGTTTCGAAACCTTCAGGCAAGTTCTTTCTAACTCTCCTCTTAGGACCCATATATTTATCACCTTGAGTATCAATGTTTAGATTAAATTTATTGTTTAAAATCATAGTTAGATCGAAATAACTAAAAGAATAAATTATTATATTTTTATTTTTGGATTAGTAGATTTTAAATTGTATATATATGTGTTACTTATATTTTAAGAATCAAGTTATAGGTTGATCTTGGACCCATTAGGATTAATTAGGGTTTCTAGAGTTTCTGGAATTTTTCGATAATTTTTAGAATTTTCTAGATATTTTTCTGAATTTATTTTATATTTTTTTGAATTTTGTTATAATTATAAATGTGCATAAATAAAATATTTATATTGTTCTATGAATTAGAGGCTGCGACGCATCAATAGGGTTTCTGATCCAGTGTGGTCGTTTGTAAGGTAGGTTAGTGCAACCCCTAATCTAAGCCATGGGATTAACTTAATATATAATGGATTGATTCGGTGCTATGCAGCACATGATAAGATGATGCACATGGGGATCTGGTGGTTTAGATTAATTAATACAAGGGTGATGGATTAGGTACATCACGGCACATGGAAAGATGGTGTGCCTGTACGCCTGTACCGTGGATGTAGAATGGTCAACAATATATTGATCCAGTGTGGCTGCGTCTTGTAGCTACGGTGCGCCCAACCAATGAGGACAGGCCAGCACACGCAGAGGGCAAATCAGGCGCGTGTACAGCGCGTGTAGGCGCGTGAGGACAGCTGCCACTATGTACGAGCGCGTGGAAGCGCGTGCAGTGAAACCAGGCGCGTAGGGGAGCGTGAGGCACTGTTTAGGGTCTCGTTAAGGTCCTGTAAGGTCCGGTGAATTTCCAGAATTGGTTTTAAGCCTATTAGGTTTGAAAACAACTCCTAGAAGAGGTGTTCTTGGTGTCCGGAAAGCCATAAAGTGTTACTACAATGATAAGTAGCATTTATTTTGCGTAAATATAATAACTTATTATATTGTTATGGAATGTGGGGTATATATGTATATATATATAATTATGTATATATGTGTGTACATGGATTTTTTTAAATTGTGATTAGTATGGAAGGAAGGATATATATGTATATATATATATATATATATATATATATATAGGATTTAAATAATCAAGGATTATTAAGGGAAGTTTATACACATATATATAATATATATATGTCTGATA